TCATATTCGGAGACATTATTTGTTGCCGTGAAGCGCAGACGAAACGATTGCTCGATTATTTCCCCGGTTGGTGAGACCAGTCGTATGCCGATTCCAGAGCCATACGATGACGAGGACCCGTCGGCGTACAGCGTCCTAACGCCGTTCTGAGGGTCACCTGGCTCGGGGTTGCCGCTTAGGTTTTTCGGAATGAGCGGTAGTTCAATAAGGAAGTCGGCTAACACTTGCGATTTCATTGCTAGTCGGGTTCTGAAGTCCATATCGTATTCGCTGAGCTCGATTGCCCATTTAGCCATTCTCCCGGACTGGCTCGGACTGTGTAAGGCGGTTCGTAGTGGTTGGTCTGTGAGAACGGCGATTGTGTAGGATTGAAAGTAGGGAAGTAATTTACTGGCCGATGTTACGACCGCTAGCGCAGCTTTTTCCATTGTGGGATAGCGTGTCTCGGCTTCGATGAGGGACTTGCTGACGTAAAAGATCGGCTTCTGGTCGCCTCGGTCATTTTTAACAAGCACACCGCTCACGGCCGAGCTTGATACCGCGATGTATAGAAATAGCGTTTCACCGTTTTCTGGCTTAGCGAGAACCGGGGGCGTCGTGAGGTATTGTTTGAGTTCGTTAAAAGCATTTTTGCTCGCCTCATCCCATGCAAACTTGTCCTTCCTTTTTAAGAGGTTATAGAAGGGTAAGCACTTGTCCGTCGATCTGGCGATGAAGCGGTTGAGAGCGGCGATCCGTCCTGTTAGTCGCTGCACCTCGCGTGCGTTCTTTGGAGAAGGCAGATCGAGGATTGCACGAATTTGCTTTGGGTTAGCCTCGATCCCCCTTTGCGTGACCATGTACCCCAGGAACTCGCCGGATGTTACGCCGAACGTGCATTTCGCGGGGTTTAATTTCATATTGTATTCGTTCAGCACGTCGAAGCATTGGCTTAGGTGTCGGACATGGTCAGCTGCTACTAGAGATTTTACCAGCATATCGTCTATGTAAACTTCGATGGTTCGTCCAAGCTGATCAGCGAACATCTTATTTACCAAACGTTGGTACGTCGCACCGGCGTTTTTGAGGCCGAATGGCATCACCTTGTAGCAATAGGTTCCTCGGTCTGTGATGAACGAGGTCTTTTCCCAATCATCTCTGTGCATGAGGATTTGATTGTATCCCGAGAATGCATCCATGAAGGACAGGAGTTCGTTCCCGGCGGTCGCTTCGACTATCCTGTCGATGTGAGGGAGCGGGTAGCTATCTTTTGGGCACGCCTTATTGAGGTCGGTAAAGTCTACGCAAACATGCCATTTGCTGTTCTTCTTCTTTACAACGACCGGGTTCGCTAGCCATTCCGGATATTTTACCTCAGTTATCGAGCCAGCCTTCAACAGCTTGTCGACTTCGTCATTTACGGCCATGGCTCGCTCCGGTCCCAATTTTCGCCTTTTCTGCTTTACCGGTTTATAGGTTGAGTCGACGTTAAGCTCGTGCGTAACGATCATTGGGTCGATGCCTATCATGTCGTCTACGCTCCAGGCGAACGTTTTAGAATTCTGTTTTAGAAATGCGATGAGTGGTTCTTTAACCGATGGTACTATCTCGGCACCGATTGCGACGCATCTTGTCTTATCCGTCTTGTCAATATTCACTTGTTCTGTCCTGCTCAGTTGAGGCTCTTCAAGGGACTTATTTAGGGTCGGGACGGTCGACGATGCTGGCATCGTTAATTGCTATAACTTCTTAGCGACGCGGTTCTTGTGTTCGATGAGAAAACATGTTCTTGCGACCTGTTGATTCCCTCTCAAGGTGAACACTCTGTTGTGCGTTGGGAACTTGATGCACTGGTGGTATGTGGACGGGATCGCCTGCATTTGATGTATCCAGGGTATCCCTAAAATAACGTTGTAAACTGCGGGCTTGTCAATTACGACGAACTTGACCCACGAGATCGTTCCTCCGACGAATACGGGCAACTTGATCGTTCCGATTGTCATTACGAAGTCACCATCGAATCCGGTCAACGGGCGCGATACGGGTTTTATTTGCCGATCGCTGACGTTCATTATAGCCAAAATGTCCTTGAAGATGAGGTCGACTGAGCTTCCAGTATCGATGAGCACCCTAGTTACTCGGCTATCGCCGATAATGAGTTCGACGACGAGAGGATCGTTATGCGGAGTATCGATGCCCTCCAGGTCGGATTGGGTAAACGATATGGGTTCGTCGACGGGCGTAGTTGGTGGTGCGCTCGTGGACGGCCATACTTCCTTCATTTCAGCTTTTTTACGATATTGTTTGATTGACCGAACAGAATCGTTGCAGTTTTGCAGTCCGCCCATTATCATTCGGACCTGTCTGACGACCACTAGAGCTTCGGCTGGCGCCTTCCCATTCCAAGGTCTTTTGGCGGGATCATTTGCATCCTCGACTTCCTCGGTTTTAGCATGGTCTTGTAGGTATTGACGGGCCGCGCTCTCGTTACGTTTTTGATTCTTACCTCCTTGGGCGCGGTCACACTCGATCGCGATGCTTCCGTTCTTATATCTTGCCATCAGTAAACTTTGCAGATACCGGCAATCTTCAGTGGCGTGTGCTTTACTTTTATGGTATTCACAGAATATTGACGTCAGTGCCGGGGAATCGGTGTCTCTTACGTATTTGTTCCACGGCCTTGGTGATGGTGTCTCGCTATTAACGACGAAGGTCGTGGGTCGTCGTGCTTGGCCGATGTTACCTTTGGAATGTTGTTTTGGCTCAGCGTTGTTTGCTGCGTTAGGTATGGCTGAAGCAGTCTCCTTAGTTACAGATGTTTTGGGCGGGTTATGCTTTTTGGCTAGGACGAGCCGCTCCTCTTCGAGCTCGATATATCGCGAAGCTCTATGCAGTGCGTCTTCGAGAGTGTTCGGAGCATGAAGAGTGATATCATCCCTGTATTTTGAATCGTACCAGACGGCGTTGCGGAGGGCTACTATCGCGGCTTCGTCAGGGATGGTGATTTTGGTCACCACTACCTTGAAGCGATCGATGAACGATCGGAGTGACTCCTTGGGGCCTTGCGATAGGGACCACAGGTCGGCGTTGGACGTCTGATTCTCGATAAGAGGTGAATAGTGCTTTAGGAAAGACGATGACAATTGGTTGAAGCTGCTAATTGTGTTTGGCTTTAGGCGGGAGAACCAGTTGAGAGCCGGGCCCGTGAGATATTCGATGAAGATCTGGCACCGCCCTGCCTCGAAGTTTTCTGGAGTAAGCTCGGCGCGGTTAATCGCCACGCTGAAAGATTGCAGGAATTCCTTAGGGTCGCCTTTTCCGTTGTACCTTTCCAATTTGATTTTCTTGGATCCGCGGATGGAAACGCTTGTGATTCTTTGGGTGAAAGCGGTTTGCTGAGTTTCCTCGAGTACGCGGTCGAGTTCCGGAGCCGAGCTAGTGGCACGGTGAATTTTCGAGCTCATTTCCAAGACAGCGCGTCTTAGTTCGGCGATCTCCGTATCTCGCGGATTGGTGCTGCCCATGGTTTGGACGGGCTGAGCTGCCTGGGGACATCCAGGGAGCTTTAGGGTGTAGACCGCGTTTGCACTTCGACTTGTTTGCAGACGGTTGATCTCGTCCATGGAGAACGCTTGAGCTGCGGCCAGAGATGCGAACCGAGCATCTGTTCGTGCGTCCTGTCGACCTAGATGGTCGAGGATGTTATGGAGCAGTCGGTTTGGCTCGGCGGGAGTTAGTACCGCAGCGTACCATTCTGCACGGGTTTCCTCGAGGTTCGTTGGACGTCGTCTGCTGGGAGAGGTCGGTTCGCCTTCCTCCTGGTGTGCCGGGGGCGTTTCGTTCCTTACTGCTTCTGCTGGCCCCTCGGGCGTCTAAGGTAACGATGCGGGAATAGCTACCGAGGTATGGGTAGCCTTCCTTGTCGGAAGTACTCTTGGCGGGATCGGCGTCACTGTCTCTCCTCCCGTGGAGGATGCGTTGTCGTCTCGGACGCCCGTGCTGGTTCCCTGGTTTCCATCGGTTGCCATCGTGTTATCGCGGGCTCGTTTTGTTGACTGGAGAAATCTCTGAGCTATCCCCCTACCTGGTGCGCCAACTGTTGATGCACGAATCACACAAGTACGAAATAGGGTTTCTCTAGGGAAGTAAAAAGAATCTCCCAAAACAATTCGAGCCGAGAGTACAAATGGCGTTAGGCGAGCCGAAATGAATGACTTCGGATTAAAGATTTCAGGTCGTTGATGAGGCCGAACTGTAGGTCGTATTCCGAGCTGAATGAAGCTTGAGGTCGCTTTCCTTTTCTAGACTGAGATCGCTCTTCGTATCCTAGCCGAGTTCTTCGTGTCCTAGCCGAGTTCTTCGTGTCCTAGCCGAGTTCTTCGTGTCCTAGCCGAGCTCTTCGTGTCCTTGCCGTGTCAGCGTGATTTTCGATGGATGTGACAGGACTGGTTGTCCTTCTTTTATAACCCTACCGGGTAGGGCATACCCTGACGGTTTTTACCGGTTCTGTCCTTGAATATGACGACGTGGCAGGCCTATGAGGCGGTGATATTGCCTGGGCTTTATCATTTCTGGGCCTGGGTCTCTCCGAAACCCCTCTTTTTTGGAGCGGGCTTCCTTTCTTAAATTGGGCCTTGTATCCCAAAAGCCCAATTCTTTCATCAACACAGTCGTAATCGAAACCGCTTGCGATTATGAAACGAACATGATTTATATACCACTTCATCGACGATTCGATAAATGTTTAAGTTGATAATTTAAACAAAAATAATGGCTTTTTGTCCCTTCAACGATTTTAAGATTTGTTTTAACAAAGTTTGTTACCAATCAAATGCAACTATCTTTTTTAGGCGAACTTATAATATTTGTCCAACGATTGTCATTAGATTAGTATCATGAAGTAATTCACCACGTGTCAAGGTAATGTTACACGTGTTCACTTATCATGACACGTTTCCATTCACGGACCCACCTCTCATCGTTCCCTTTATGTTAATAAAAGAGCTTAGAAGTTTCTCTCATTTGAGTATCAGCGTATGCAACAAACGATGAGATTTAAGATACTACCATTGTTCATTTTCCTCTCTCTTGTTACCTTGTTCATCTGCACAGATTCGTTTTCGGACCAAAATGGCGTTGTTCCGAGCTCTGATTCGTCGTTTTCATCGCCACTTCTGGTCAAGAAGGACCAACGCACGCCAATCGTCGCGACGGAGTATGGAGAAATATCAGCCGTCCAGATCGGTGATGGGTATCATCTTCAGTTCATAACATTGGAGCCAAACGCACTCTTGCTTCCTCTTCTTCTCCATTCCGACATGGTTTTCTTTGTTCACACTGGTACGTCAAAACACTCATCTACTTTTGTGTTTTCTAAAACTATTTATCGGGACCAAAAATCTTAAACCGTAACTAAACCGAAATTATTTGACACTGATAGGTAAATTTATTTTGTTGAACAAGGTAAATTTAAGTCTATCAAAGCATAATATTAGAACATTATAATTTGATTTTCTTCGTCTAAAACCTTATATCACGCTTAATATTAATTTTTTTTTTTCATTGGAGCCTTCGATTCTTTTAAGTTTTAAGTGCATGGTTAGGGTTTATTAAAAAAATTAGTGTTGTGATTGACTGATTGCATCATGGGATTGTGTATAGGGAGTGGGATTCTGAATTGGATCGACGAGGAGAGCGAGAGGACGTTGGAATTAAGACGAGGAGATGTTTACAGGCTACGTTCCGGTACAGTCTTCTATGTACATAGCAACGAAGATTCAGACAAACTTAGGGTTTACGTAATCTTCGATGTGGGGAAGTGTTTAAACGATCCGTGTCTTGGAGCCTACTCGAGTGTTAGAGACCTTTTATTGGGCTTCGACGATAGAACTCTCCGGTCAGCTTTTGCGGTACGTTCTGTTTCTTTAAGATTTATATATGTACATGATTCTATTTCTAGTTGTTGTTTCACTGATTGCATTGTGTGTGGTTTAACGATATGGAAGGTTCCTGAGGATATTTTGAGGAAGATAAGAGAAGCAACAAAACCTCCGTTGATTGTAAATGCTCTGCCGAGAAACAGAACACAAGGCTCGGGGGAGGATAAGTGGCAATCACAGCTCGTTAGGCTTTTTGTCAGAGCTGAAGACGTCACTGATCATTTGGCGATGAAACCAATCGTTGATACTAATAAAAAGAAATCAAGAACGTTCAATGTTTTTGAGGAAGACCCGGACTTTGAGAACATCAATGGTCGGAGCATAGTGGTAGACGAGAAGGATTTGGATGCTTTAAAGGGTTCAAGATTTGGGGTTTTTATGGTTAATCTGACTAAGGTTAAGCCACTTAAAACTAACACCATATATATCGTTGGTTCTTGATTCCTTGTCTAGTCTTGATGTGACTTTAAAAATGGTGAATCCACTTTTGTAGGGATCGATGATGGGACCGCATTGGAACCCTAGTGCTTGTGAGATATCGATTGTGTTACAAGGGGAAGGCATGATTCGGGTGGTTAACCAACAGTCGTTGTCTTCTTGCAAGAACAATAGCAAGAGCGAGAGCTTTATGGTTGAGGAAGGAGATGTTTTTGTTGTGCCGAAGTTTCATCCTATGGCTCAGATGTCTTTCGAAAACAGTTCTTTTGTATTTATGGGGTATAGCACTTCCTCAAAGACGAACCACCCTCAGTTTTTAGTAGGTCAGAGCTCGGTTCTGAAAGTATTGGACCCGGAAGTACTTGCTGTGTCTTTCAACTTAAGTAACGAGACAATTAAGGAATTGTTGAAAGCTCAAAAAGAAAGTGTGATATTTGAGTGTGCGTCATGTGCGGAGGGAGAGTTTGCAAAGCGTATGAGGGAGATTGCAGAGAGGAAGAGACGTGAGGAGGAAGAAATTGAGCGAAAACGGGAATAAGAGGAGGAAGCAAGGAAAACAGAATATAAAAGGAAGAGGGAGGAAAAGGAAGCTAAGAGACGAGAGGAAGATAAGAGTAGACGTGAGGAGGAAGAAATTGATCGAAGACGGAAAAAAGCGGAGGAAGCAAGGAAAAGAGAAGAAGAACAGAAGAGGGAGGAAGAGTAAGCTAAGAGACGAGAGGAAGAGAAGAGGAGACGCGAAGAGGAAGAAACTGAGCGGAGAAGGAAAGAAGAAGAGGAAGCAAGAAAGAGAGAAGAAGAAAGGAAGAGGGAGGAGGAAGAAGCTAAGAGACAAGAGGAGGAGCGAAAGAGACGTGAGGAGGAAGCAGAACAGACACGAAAGAGAGAAGAAGAAAGGGAGAGAGAGGAAGAGAAAGCTAAGAAGCAAGAAGAAGAGAGGAGAAGACGTGAGGAAGAAGAGAAGGAGGCGAGGAAGAGAGAAGAAGAAAGGGAAAAAGAAGAGGAAATAGCGAAGAAACGAGAGGAAGAAAGGCGGAGGAAAGAAAGAGAGGAGGTTGAGAGGAAGAGACGTGAGGACCAAGAGAGGAGGAGACGTGAAGAAGAAGCAAGGAAGAGAGAAGAGGAGAGAAAGAGAGAAGAAGAGATGGCAAAGAGACGAGAGGAAGAGAGGCAGAGGAAAGAAAGAGAGGAAGTGGAAAGGAAGAAACACGAGGAAGAAGCAAGGAAGAGAGAAGAAGAGATGGCGAAGAGACGAGAGGAAGAGAGGCAGAGGAAAGAGAGAGAAGAGGTGGAGAGGAAGAAACGTGAAGAGGAAGCTATGAGGAGAGAAGAGGAGAGAAAGAGAGAAGAAGAAGCAGCTAAAAGAGCAGAGGAGGAACGAAGGAAACGAGAAGAAGAAGAAGAAGAGAAGCGGAGATGGCCACCGCAGCCACAACCACCCTCCACTACCGGGGGAAATATGGTTGACGAGTCTTAAAAGCACAGAAACTTTCGTTTTTTTTAATTTTCTTGAGTGTTCGTTTTCGTTTTTTAGTTTTTGTAAATTTAAGCATCTATTTATTACTATATAAAGTTTGATGTTTTGGATGAGGCAGTTGAGCTCTATTGGAGATGTATTGTGTGGTATAAAATCGGTTTTAAAACGAGAGATACTAAAATTATAAATAAAAATAAGTGTGTGAGTTACCAATTGGAATTTAAATATTTTTATGAAATTCTTGCATAGACACTTAAAAGACATTTTTGCACAAATGGATGAACATATAGGCAGAGGATTAGTAGTTGTAGAAAACAATGTTTTGGTCCTTCATGTGATCCTCACATTCAATGTTCACTACATATTATAATTTGATGCTGCAATAGATTATGTAGGTCTTCTTTTACTTGCCGGTTATATAGGCATAGGCTTTCATATATGAATTGTTATTCTTTTATTAATCACCGGTTATCCAAACACTTAGCAATTTAGTATGACTGGATGAAAAAATTGTTAATTTTAAGACTTCTTGACATAGATATTTACAAGAAATATATTCATATGAATCATTATTGAAGTCTGAAACTCTGAATTTTGTAACAAATTGTACTATAGTTTTTCTTTTTAACGTATGTATTTAAATATTTATTATTTATTACAAATTATGAGAAATGTTACATAAACGATTCTATCACTGACAATTTCTGTCGACACTTATTTTACTTTCTTCGTATAATCACGGCTAGCTGCTTCAATTGTACATCGATGGAGATCTCTGTACATTTGTCTCCATTAATCTGTAAATTTGTTAATAAATCGTAGTATTTGAGACTCAAAATATTCGACCAATGGGCTAAGGGGTTTTCACCAAATTATACTTTAGTTAGGATTTAAATTTCTTAGAACTTTTTAACCGATTTTTTATTTTTAAAATTTATGTAGTCCCGCTATCAAAAACCATTTCTTTGTCTTAAACCCTAAAAAACCATTTCAATTTACCGACGTTTGCAATGACGCCGTCTCATTTCTGTCTCCGCTTCCTCCGCCGCTTCTCCACCGCCGCTGCAACCAATGTTTCTTCCGGCGCAATCACTATCTCCAAAGCTAAATCCAAACTCCGCAAAGTCCACGATCCAGACAAAGCCTTAGCGATTTACAAATCCGTCTCCAACAATTCCTCATCTCCACTCTCCTCTCGCTACGCTATGGAGCTCACAGTCCAACGCCTCGCTAAATCTCAACGCTTCTCTGACATAGAAGCTCTAATTGAGTCTCACAAAAACAACCCAAAGATCAAAACAGAGACTTTTCTCTCTACACTTATCAGATCTTATGGACGAGCTTCAATGTTTGATCATGCTATGAAGATGTTCGAGGAGATGGATCAGATCGGGACACCAAGAACCGTTGTTTCCTTCAATGCCTTACTCGCTGCTTGTCTTCATTCTGATTTGTTTGAAAGAGTCCCCCAACTGTTCGACGAAATTCCTCAGAGGTATAATAATATTACTCCTGATAAAGTCTCTTATGGTATGTTGATTAAGTCATATTGTGACTCTGGTTCGCCTGAAAAAGCTATGGAGATTATGAGAGATATGGAGGTTAAGGGTGTGGAAGTTACCATCATTGCTTTCACTACCATTTTAGGATCTTTGTATAAGAATGGTTTAGTCGATGTAGCGGAAAGCTTGTGGACCGAGATGGTGAATAAAGGTTGTGAATTGGATAACACGGTTTATAATGTTAGACTTATGAATGCTGCGAAGGAAAGTCCCGAAAGAGTTGAGGAACTGATGGAAGAAATGAGTAGTGTAGGATTGAAACCTGATACGGTTAGCTATAACTATCTTATGACTGCGTACTGCGTGAAAGGAATGATGGGTGAAGCCAAGAAAGTGTATGAAGGGCTTGAGCAACCAAACGCAGCGACGTTCAGGACATTGATATTTCGTCTGTGTATAAATGGGTTGTATGATCAAGGTTTAACGGTGTTCAAGAAGAGTGCTATAGTGCACAAGATTCCGGATTTCAAAACTTGTAAGCATTTGACTGAAGGATTGGTGAAGAATAACAGAATGGAAGACGCAAGAGGAGTGGCTAGGACTGTGAAGAAGAAATTCCCTCCGCGTTTAGTAACCGAGTGGAAGAAACTAGAGGAGAAGCTGGGTTTGTATTCAAAGGCTAATGCAGCTGCTGTTTCATCTTCTTCTCAAACTAGAGAAGTGTTAGATCAAGAAAGAGAGGATGCTGCATACAGCCCCGGCTCAGATGGGTAGGGCAGAGGTGCGACGGCCCGGGGCTTTTTTTTTTTATAAAAAAAATTACATATAAAAAAGGCCCAAATATTTTTTAAAAATATTATTAATATGAGAATTATATTTTAAGAGGTCTAATTATTTATAAGGAAATGTATAAAAAGGCCCAAAATTTTTAAAATAACAATTTTTACTATAAAAACTCCGCAAAAATTTTAAAAATTAAATAAATTTTCTCTTTGTATATAATAATAGGCCAAAAAAATTTTTTTTGCCCTAAGGCTCTCAAATATATTGAGCCGGGGCTGGCTGCATAAAGCTCAAGAACTTGCTAAGAAGATCTTATTTTTGTCTGTGCTTGCTTTCAGCTATTATATGACTTGTGGAAACTGTGATCTAACGTGAAGGTTATAATGCTATGAGTTTCTCTTACATTTGATTTACTCATAAAAAATTGCAGTAAAAGCTACAAGTTTAGTGACAAGAACAATAAACAAGTCAAAAACAGAGAGAGATGATTGTTACTGCACAAAGGACAAAGAAAGCAACGAACATGGAAACACAGTACAAACGTTGATTACTTAAAGGGTTTTTAGTAATAAAACCCCTCAACTAAAGATGAATCGTAAAAAAACCCCTCAACTATATATTTAGTGCAAAAACTCCTCAACTTTAAATATGTTCATGAAAATTTCCCTTCGTCTCCATTATCGTAAAAATTAGACGGGTTACAGTTAAATTGAAACTGAAAAACGACATATATACACTTAAACAACATGAATTGTAAACAAAAACAACAAAATCTTCTTCTATCTGATTATAAATCCTCAAACCTAATCTCTAAAGTTCTCAAAGTGAAAAATCTAAATTGATGAACCATAATTTATCATAGTAAGATTCTCTGAAGTTTGTGTGGTGTAGAAGTCAATTAGGAGAAATTCTGAAAAATGTTACGTTTTAATTTGAACTGTAGTCCGTCCAATTTTTACGACACTGTAGACAGAGGGGAATTTGCATGAACATATTCAAAGTTGAGGGGTTTTTCCACTAAATATATAATGGAGGGGTTTTCTTACTATTTATCTTTAGTTGAGGGGTTTTATTACTAAAAACCCTTACTTAAAAAATTCTCGAAGGATCTATCAAGGAAAGATATAAGAATTCCATTTGATGTTTGTAATGTGTAATTACATATAACAAAGAAAATTAAATGTTTATGGAGACGCGGATTGTATGAAGATTCCTCAATTGTTGATTCTTAGCCTTTGGTCTGCTTCTTTAGTCACATGAGATCCCAATACCTTCTCTCTATTATATAATATTACATTGCATAATAAAACACGTTATAATATGTAAACAAAATATAGCACCACAAAAAACCGCTATCGGAAGCCATCGACCTATTATCATGGGCGCAGATATAGCGCATTCTACTCTACTATATCTTGAGTGCGTCCATGTCTCGCTTGCTTCGACGGTGGCTAGGGTTCGTAACGGAGAGTAAAAGGGGGAAGAAGAAGATGATTCATCTCGTTTTGAATCTGGGTTAAGGATTTCGTAGAAGAAGAACCCTAGTTCTGAATTTGGCGAATTGGTGAAGAAAGAGCAAGGTATTTCGATGAGTATCAGAGTGAAAAAAAAGTTTGAGAAATGAAACAATGGAGAGGGAGAGTAAACGAGAGTGGGAGGGACCGAGGGAGAATAAAAATTGGTAGCCGCTTCTTTTATTCACTAAGTATATTTAAGGGCAAATAAATTATTTTATCCGTCTCAACATTGCATAACGTTTCAAAACGTATCAGAGCTATGTTTTTTATAATTCTAAAAGCATTTTTAAAATTAAGATATGACCAACTAAACATAGCGTTTGTAAAATACAAACGCTATCTTAAACTGAAGGATATGCCAATCATAGCAAAAAGACATTGAACGCTATACTATTTTGCTATCAATACTTTATTTTCTTGTAGTGACGTGGGTCCGATCAGTTTGTTGGTAAAGGAGAAGAGGCTTTGATATATTATCCTTTGGAGAAGAGTTTGTTTAATCTTGTGCAAGGTGAGATTGGGCATAGGGTTTACTACGCCGATGAAAAGCCTTCTCCTTTGAAACCGGCGTTAGCTCTTGAGACGGTGGTGGAGGAAAAGACGGAGGAGACGACGACAGGAGCTCGAGACGAATCGTCTCAGTCACCACCAGAGACTAATGACAGTTCTTCTGAAGTGACAGAACCTGTGGAACCACCACAACCGCCACTGGAGGAGAGTTCTCCAGTCGAAGGTCCCAATACAAACGAGGAAGCCTCACCACCGTTACAAGAAAATGCTACGGTTGGTGGAGAAGAACCACCGGACTGTATCTCTCTTGCTACTGATAGTTTATATTGGTATGCTTAAATCAGCATGAATAAAAAAAGTTTGAGTCTTTCTATATTTTCCAAGATAGTTTATACGTTAAAACTAATATGTGGTTCCTTCACTTTATTTTTGTTGACTCAAATATATAGTAAGTTGTTACAATGTCTGGTTGTCTTTGACGTGGCTTACTTGAGAGCCGTTTCAATAGCAAAGACTATAAAACTGATGAGTTTGACTGAGGTGTTGCTTGATACCAAGTCGTTAAATCAGCTTACAAATTTTCTTGAAGCTGTATGATGTAGGTGGAAAGAAAGAAGAGATTTTACATATATGGAACTTTTACAAAAATAACATTAAAAATGTAGAAATGAGAGATATGAAGTTGTGATCATGTCTTTGCATAGGAATATCATGGGGATGATTAGGGATGTTAATATGGGCTAACCCAGCCCATTTAGACCCAGCCCATTTAAAACCCATCCCATTTAGATCCACCCCATTTAACCCCATTTAAGTTTACACCCCATTTAACCTCCCCATTTAAACCCATTTAGATTTCCTTTACCCATTTAAACCCATTTAGATTTCCTTTACCCATTTAAACCCATTTAAACCCATATAACATTGTTTTGTTCTAAACAATATAAAATAATCAATAATGATTTTAATTGGTTATTTAAAATTTACAAATTATTTCATTAAATATAATTGATAAATAATGATATAACTGTTTTTATTATTTTGTTGAAGAATAATATAGTTTTTTTTAAAAATGAAATTTTGCGGTTTTGGCGGGAAAACGTCATTTTATAGTATGATATTTTTGGTGATAAAACGCAATTTTACGATTTTGGCGGGAAAATGCGGGTTTACGGTTTTGGCGTAAACCCGCATTTTCCCGCCAAAATCGCAACCCCGCGTTTTCCCGCCAAAACCGTAAACCCGCATTTTCCTGCAAAACCGTAAACTCGTGTTTTTCCGCCATAATCGCATAACCATGTTATAGGAAACGTGATTTTACGTTTTCTTTTAAATATTTAAAACAAAAATTGAATTTAAGTAGAATATTAATGTTAAATATATTTAATATTTTGCTCTTTTATTTTAGTTATTAAAATATTAACATTATTAATAAAAATAACTAATATTAAATAAAATAACTAATATTAAATAAAATATAAATGGGTTTAAATGGGTACCCATTTATTTGTGGGAAACCCCATTTAATAAATGGATTTAATTGGGGTAACCCATTTAACCCCATTTAACATTTTTCCCTAAATGGGTTTAAATGGGCTAATTTTTTTTGTACATACTCATTTATTAAATGGGGGTTCCATGCCCAAATTAACATCACTAGGGATGATGAAACTCCATTGATTTGATTCCAATCTTGATAGCAATTCAATTTCGTAGCTATATTTATTTATAGGGGAAAAAAAAGCTATATTTATTTATTTAGTTATAACTTATGAGTCTCTAAAATTACGATAACAAGGGATATTAAAAGATAATGACGTTATAACTTATGAGTCTCTAAAATGACTAAATTACCATTATTTTAATGAAAGATATCACAAATATATAAGGAAAACACGAGAATGTGCACACATCAAAATTACAAATTTAATTTTTGTAAAAACTTGTAAAACCTTTAAAATACCTTGTAAAATTTTCCTGCGAAATTATTTTTTTGCGGGAAAAGTGATTCCGCAATTTTTTTTGGCTGGAAAAATTTACAAGGTATTTAAAGGTTTTATAGGGTATTTATAAAGTTTTACAATGTATTTTAAAAGGTTTTACAACGTATTGATAAGGTATTTATAAGATATTATAAGATTTTACAAGCTATTTTATAAGGTTTTACAAGTTATAAAGTTTTACAAGTTTTTTATAAGGTTTTACAAGTTATAAATACCTTATAAAACCTTATAAGTATCTTGTAAAACCTTTTAAAATACATTGTAAAACCTTACAAAACACTTGTAAATACTCTGTAAAACTTTTAAAATACCTTGTAAATTTTTTCCGCCAAAAATTTTCCCGCCAAAAAAATTTCGCTCAAAAAATTGCGGAATCACTTTTCCGGAAAAAAAAATTTTTGGCAGGAAAATTGCGGGATCACGTTTCCCGCCAAAAATTTGCGGGATCACTTTTTCCGCCAAAAAATATTTTGTATTTTATGGACCTAATTTTGTTTCAAATAAGGGTAAATGGTCATTAAAAATTAAAAGAGGGCAAACTTAAAAATAAACTCTCAAAAAGGTTTTTTGAAAAGGGGTATTGAAAAAGACGCATTTTTAACAATTTCTCAAAAAAAATATTAAATATCATACATAATATAAATCTTTGAGAAAATATATGAAATATTATTACTGTTAGGCCTGGGCATTCGGGTACCCGTTCGGGTTCGGTTCTTTTTTTTCGGGTATCGGGTCTATTCGGGTAGGGGGTCAAGACCCATTCGGGTATTCTAAAAATTCTGTTCGGGTTCGGTTCGGGTTTGGATATTTTAATAAAAAGCAAAATACCCGAAAATAACCAAAAATACCCGGAATATTTTCGGGTTCGGGTCGGGTTCGGGTTTTTAACTCATATATACCCAAATCTAACCGAAATACCCGATTTCTCGAAAATACATTGGTTACTCTTTACCCAAATATAACCAAAAATATCTAAAATACCTAATATATTCGGATTTATGATTATAATTTTAAGTATTTCGGGTATTATAAATATAAAAATAACTAATATTTTTAGGTGTATATTTGTATTCGGGTACATTCGGGTACATTCGGGTATTGGATTCGGTTCGGGTTCGGTTCGGGTTTTTTTCGGGTAGGAGGTTAGGACCCATTAGGGTATTTTTAAAAATCGGGTTCGGGTTCTGTTCGGATATTGTTCGGGTTTTTCGGTTCGGGTATTCGGTTCTGGATATTTTGTCCAGGCCTGCCTTTCCCTGTTTTTATTAAAATTTAATTGTGATTCAAGTTTAATGTACATAAAATAATATAATCAGTTTGAAATTTGACTAGGCCATTAAAGATGAGTGTTTTGCCAGAGATGTACCTTTAGGAAAAATTAATTTCT